GCGCATTCATTTTTTGTCAGCCAATGAAAAAATTCGAATTTTTGGGTGCGTCCAGAGCTACTCGTCAACGGCATTTTAAGACGAGTAGCACTGGGGACGAGAATGTTAATAAACTTGAACTTAAACGCATGCGCACAATTAAACCCGAGCCAGGATTTTCTGGTCCCGGTTTTAAATTTCGTCCAGAACGTCGGGCGTTCAGTCACCGCTGACCAAAAACCTGCGGACTATGGAGATGAGATTGAAAGACCCGTGACCTTTAATGTTTTCTATGAAAATGAAATCACAAATACCTGCCATCATAAAGGTGTACTCACCTCACATGGTAAACAGCAGTAATAATTGGAGCCCAGTAACCAAATTGATCTAAAAACATTTTCACAAAGGGCACAAGAGAGGCCCGGGCTGCTATCTAAAAAAATGAGATAATGACACTTCCAATCAATGCAAAACTGATATAAGGTTACTAAGGACGTGCACCCGGGGAGAGGCTGGGGGAAAGTAGTGACTCCCATATAAAAATGGACAGGGAGCTCATCATATCTTTTAGGGATTAAAAAAGCAGTTTTCGAGTACCTCATAGGGTGTTCAGCCTCAAAACTTCCACAGCGGGAACTTTCATGGTGCCTTTTAGGGTATTGAGCCGAAAAAATATGACAGGGGATATATTACAAGCAACTTTACAAGTGGAAGGTGTTCGATGCAATCGTCTTTATCACTATTGAAGCATCAGTTAATGTGTTGTTTTAGTTATTGGTACCTATTAGAGGTGAAAAACGTTTCAAGCCATGCCCACAATACAGGATCTTGGTACCTCTTAGGGGTTATTTTCAAAATTTCTGACAAGCACCCCATCCTTTTTTTAAGGAGTCCCCCACCAGGGACATGCATAGGCCTGCAATGCATGCAAACAAAGCCCACTGTGTGATGTCCATTATTCTGGCCACAAATAGCATTAGATTCCAGTCCCCAATTAAAAGCAGGACATTGGCAACTGGGGTTATTCACTTATTTTTGCATAAACATGGATAATGTACTGGCTATATGATTACCAGGGTATTCCATCAAAATTGCCGTGTTCAACAAATGGGATATCTATTTGGTTTACAGAACTAGCTATCTTATCTGAAACATTGAACTTCTACAGCTAGCAATGCTATATTAAAGAAAGAATAATAACATTGTCTTGAGTTCACCAAAGTCAAGATGTCATGGTCATAGCAGCTGCAATCCACACAATCTTGTATTCCCCTTCCTTAACCCAAGGGTTTCTGCAAACATGGCTTTTAAATAGAGTTAACTAAAATATAAATCTCCTACCTTACTGACAGTGAGCCATTCCAAAAAGTTGAAATGGACATGAGCAAGGGGAGCCATTATGAGAGAACCATATATCATAGATCTCAGTAGGTGCTGCCAGGCAATTAATAAAAGTCAAAAACAAATTATTCACATTATTTTACCTTGCATGTAAGGTTAAAAAAGAGAAGTACTATGACAATCTTATTGGCTAATATAGTCTAAAAATAAATTGTCAACTAAACAACTTTGATAACTTCATAAATCCCCAAAACAAGGCAGCTTGGACAACCCTGATACATCACTGACATCTTGTCAGTCATACTCATGTCAGTGTTCAGGTTTTTGGTGATTAAGAAGAGGCAATGTACTTCATCAATCTAAATTGTCAAATGTCTCATTTCCACGTTAGTCTTAAAGACTCACTTGAAGAAAATCATAGTAGTAACATTGTATTCAACATTGCCAAGTCTAATGAACTTGTTTGTTGAAATCAACATCTTCCATTATTGCCTTCAGGTGCATCTCATAGGCAAGTTCTACACATTAGACACCTTATCATTGATACTGTTCTGAGTGCCAGTAGCTTTCTGAGCAATGAAATCACCAATACCATACAGCACTGTGAAAGTAATGAGAGAAGAAATTGAATCCTTGAATTGTGTGAGATAATGATTGACATTGATTATGCAGAATTGGAAAACTTCAGAGACTGCACGCTTATTTCGAAGATTTCACTGGCAGATCTACTGGGGTGCCAGAGGGCCATTGGCCTCCTGTTACTGGCCTTAATTCAAGGCATGGAGGGCCATAAAAATTTTGGGACTCCCTCTTATGAAAGCTTTCTAGATCTCAGCTACTGGACATTTGAAATCATTTGAATTTATTAAACTCGAATCAACGACCACTATCATTCAAGATAAAACATTCATCAAAATTCTTGAAGCAGATTCTGATTGTTTGGGACAGAATTATTCAGCACTCAAGTCTTGCTTTTCTCTGGCTAAATTATGATCATCTTCAATGTGGTAGACTGAACAGCCCACAAAATACATTTTACTCCGCCTACACCACTCTCAACAGTGTTCCCCACCCCTCTTCAGCGTACTACCCTACCAGCAACTGCCATTATTTCAGGACAACTTATTCCTATAGCTATATGATTTAGACGTTTGAATTATAATTGTTAGGTTAATATTATACATTATTTTATACATTACCCCCCGATGTGATACATTTTGTTCTGATTGGATGCTTGTCCAGCATCTTATTATACCATGTAAATGGATTCCGTGTTCTTGAAAATACTGAATAAGACAAAAAGAGATACATAAATGGGCAGCATAACCAGATGTTATTGATGCATGGCAGGAACGATGTTCATCTACATATCCAGTCCAATATCCCAAGTCCAGTCCAGTCCAGTCCAGTCCAGTCCATTCATTTCTTTTACAATGAAAAAAGCATTATGAAATAAAATAGAAAATTTTATAGTTATTCGAAGCAGGTAAGTCTCAAAGGGATTCTATTGTCTCGGCTATTGTTAAGTTAAACAAGGAGCTGTATGCATAATAAATGATGTATGGCAGTATTTAAAATATGATGTGGCATGATTCAATAAATCAACTGCAAAACCCCTTTCGAATTGACCAAAATCAGTTATAGAGACATTTTCGAAGCATGTTAGCTGATGTAACTTCCAACACAACTGCAAATAACATTAAGTTGAATACTTCTCAATCCAGCACGCGAGCAGGAAGGTCGAATCCAATATGTTCCAGGTCCACTCCGAAGGTACTTTCCACATATATTGGATCGCCAGGCAAAGATGTACGAACAAACACATCGCTGAGCCATGGTAAACGCTGTGAGATAAGTCGTTCTTTGACGAGATACCTCAAACGTTTCTATGTGTTAAAAAATGCAAATAAAATGGACCTGAAGGCGAGGCATTATATTTGGAAATAATGTTTTAGCGTTTCACAACATTTGCAGATTACGTAATTAAAGATCAAGAATTGTGGGAAGGACGACAGAACTGATGGGAGACGGAACGTTACGCGATGTCAACGTTGAAGGCGCGGGATGTTGGTTAAGTTATTTATTTTGGAGGTAATTAATAGAAAATTTCCTGTATTATTAACGGTTTATTTAAGGTGTCGCATAGTCAATTAAGATAAAAATGGCAAAGACCAGCTACCTGGTATGACTGAACAAAAATAAACAGAACATTAAAATACCTGGGGTTTTAAGACTTCATCTGTGGTCAAAGCCCTATTTATTTATTTAATTTATTTTTTCTGCCTTATTTCAAATGTTTAATGGTCATTATTGGGCCAGTACTGATCCATTTGAAATATTCTAACCTCTAAAACAATGTTTTCCTTTAAAGTTATTTTGACGGGTTTTACAAAGAGCGTCATTTTAGCATTCGACACTTCCATCTAGCCAGGATTTCCGTTATTTGTACACACTGATGAAATTACAAGTGTTAAGACTGCAAAGCCCTATCTGCGTTAATTTAAGCCCTTGGGAGGCAAATTATTAATTATCAAAACTTTAAAATACCTTTTTTTCCAGCGCTGATATTGGTCAGTTTCATGTTCGGTGCGAACTTAACTGATCCCCCCCCCCCCCCCCGCCCCTCCCCCCCCCCCCCCCCCCTAATTTCAAGCAGCTTAATTCATTTCACACAAGAGTTGTCATCTTAAAATAAATAAATAAATAAATAAGTAAATAAATAAATAAAATACAATATTTATAGAGGAAGCCACATTAGCCTTATATGCAGGTCCTCCATCCTGGGACTGTTGGATTTTGTGGAGAGAGGAAAACCTGAGAACCCAGAGAAAAACCCTTGGAGCAAGGCGAGAACCAACAACAAACTCAACCCACATATGGCATCGGGCAAGAATAGCGAGCCCGGGACACATTGGTGGGAGGCGAGCGCTCTCATCACGGCGCCATCCATGCTCGCCCTTATTGTTCTATTAGCATTTGCGACATTCATAACTTATGTGTACTTTTTCATTGACTCATCAGTGATCTTCATAAGAAGGATATAATTTAACTTTGTACAGCTCTAAGCTAGTCAGTTAAGTACTTTTATAGTGTGGTAGCACCTGCCGGCCTGTTGTTTATATCTGATGGCCTCCAGCTGCCATTTAATTTTCCAACAAATTGCTTCAGATTTCGTCGCGCAAGAGACAGAGAAAGTCTTGACCTCGACGTATTTTTGCACGAGTGCAAATCAACTATTCGCTGTTATAACGATTATTGTTTTCAAATAACTATTCCCAGACTGAGGGAATAAGGTTTTCAACGTACCAATACTGGAAGCTTATGATGAGTCGCTTCCATCCCTGCACTTGGGGGTTGGCGGTTTTCTGTTATTAATAAATTATCAGTTCGTTTTTCATTAACTCTTTGCAAAAACCTGCATTTTCTCCTTTCCTGAGCTTATGTCGGGTTTAGTGTCGTGGAAAGAGGATTTAACAGAGAGCTTTCGTGTTTTCGCATTTGGAAATTTCCAAACGAGTTAATGAGTGGATAAAACCATATAACGAGAGGTATATAATAAACAGAACTGCTTACAACCCGCTGTAGGCAGTAATATCTATATCTGCGCCGGTGAACCGTTTAGACGTCACAAGCTGGACCCCTGCTTTTAACTCCTAGACGTCAAGGTGATAATTTTAAAAATGTCGTTAGTTCAAGAATACGGGGGGAGATGTGTTGTAGTAGTAAGGGAAACTTGCACATTTTGAATTTTTGTCCAGAGAGGTTGTGTACGGTAAAGCTGATCGGATATATCGCTACGACAGAAGCGTCAGGAGCTCGCTAAAGTCCTCAGGTATAACAACAACATTCTGTTATTTATTAAAACGACTTAAGTTGAAAGAGTTTTTCTATGGGCGCTTGGAACAATGCCATAGCGGTTTCTGCTTTTATACATGTGTATTCTATTTTAAAATGCTCTGTCTTTGTTTTTAGTCAAACGTGGTTGTCATTTTGAAGTACGTTGCTGGAGAATGCATTTAATCTCCAAAAGGTATTTTGATAATGGAGGAAAATTCCCTGCTGGCATGGCTTTGAGGTTTTTGTACTTGGCTAGTTTCCTGAAAATTGCTAACGGAGGGTATGTATCTAAAACGTAAACTAAATCAGTTCTCTGAGTTTAGTTTGAAGGATGTAATAACACTTTGCATGTCTATACTAATTTATGAAAGACATCTTTCATGCCATTTAAAATAGCTCTTCTCTCTGATAGAATTTAATCACATTTACGTTTCCTGATAACAAAGCTATAGCACCTGAGTTTTCGATTCGGATTCAACGTACCATGAATAGAACGATGGGAGCCTAAAAACGATTTTTCCTTACAATTCGAATATTAGGTTTAATATCAACTTTGCAATGATTCGATCCAAGCATGTTTTATAGTACTCGCTCGGAAAAACCGGTAAATTCTTAACCATAAACAGCTAAATGCATACAAAATACGTTGAATTCGAGGTTGGCAAACTTGTTAAGGTATTGTGATAGATTGGGCTTAAGGTATAAGCATGTTAATAAGACGGGCGGAATAGAAAGACAGCTCTTTCTGAAACAACTGCAATGTTGTTCCAAAACAGATCGATAGCTGAACTTAGAATAGTTTTAATTTTTGTATAAACCCGTTGGGTGGCTCATTCAGTGCTAGCATTTAACTCACTTACGCAATAAGGTTTGCAATTTCCTTAGTCTCTCAGAATAGATTTTTATTTATAAACAGATAGAGAAATATGCAGAAATATAGTTTATTTCACCAGCTATAAGCCGACCTTCAAAAGACTGCGGTCACGCCGTGTTAATTAAACGCTGGTAGAAGCAAACAACTGTCGGCAATATAGCTGAACTGTTTTGAAGTCACCGTCCTTATAAAAACAACACAGTGTATTATTTTAACAGTAGTATTTTTATATAAAGGGTATGTTATTTATTTAATTGATAAAAGACAGAAAAACAATGCTAATGCTGCGGTTGAATTGTTTATCTTAACACAACCATAGCGTCTAAAAATAGCGGTTTCTGGGAACTTTGTTATGACTTGAATTTCACGCAGTGGGAAGGAGCAGAGCGTCACCGTGTTTATTAGAGGTAGCAGGTGTCCAAAACAGACAAAACAGCCCGGAGGTGTGATGGGGTTTAATTTAAATCACCGCCCTATCCAAATCAACTAGCTTTGCCAAGCAGCCCACAAACCACAACCCAACCCACAACCGGAACGATGATCCTGCTGGTATACGTTGGATCAACAGTGATCTAATCGGCTTTACATATAAAATGAAGAATACAAAAGCAAAAACTGACGCAACGATGGATGATTTTTTGAAGGTGTACTATATTTTGGCTGGCCAAACCAGCCTTCTTCAGGTACAATGGAAAATTTTACATTGGTACGTGTTTTTATGTAGCCGATATTTAAAATCATCCTACGTTGTGTCGGTTTTTGCTTTTGTATTCTTCATTGCATTATTACATATTGTTGTTGCTGCGATATTTGTTGTTTATTAGATGCAATGAAGCCTGCAATAGAAGCGTTGATGATTTACTTGTCTGGATTAAAAATGGCTACGACGGTTCCGTGAGACCAAATTCGACTGGTAAGGATCGTTAAGTCATGATGGTGCTGAATCTTAGTGCTGAATGCTCAATGTTAGTTTATGGTGGTCGAGTTACTTAGCTACACCCAGCAACAAAAATAAAAAAAATAAACTGAAAGTTAACGTAATAGGCCATAAATACACCGGTTATGATATTTAAAATTCTACTTGGCGCCAGGGCATAATTATTTTAATTTAGGAACTTGAGGGAGGGCGAGTAACAGTTAAAAGACTGTTATTACAGTGGCCGGACGGGTATGATTCGGTTTTGTAAACTTCCGATGCAATACACGGCCATGTTGGGTACGCCTAAAGACAAGTTTCTTCCTTTCCACTTCGGACCCGGAGTCTTCGCTCCCCTTGACCAGCGGTCGGGAAACGAGTGCTGATTGGAATTCCGAAAAGATCAGACTTCTGGTTCAAATGCGCATGCCTAGCTAACAAACACGTGGCTCAACCGACACGCTGATGTTCTACTTCCGCTCATTTCTATCGTTTTTAAAACCAATCAAAATCGAGCCGCAACCACGGAACTCTCGAATGTCGCTCGTTTCGTTAAGCTTGCGCAGTAAGAAACGAGGATTCAAGGAACGAGATTGGGGTCGCTTAACAAGAGGGAGTCAAATGAGGAACCTTGTCCATAACAGGGTAGCAAGTGGAAACAAGGGCTTTGATCTCATGTACAACATGTATAGAAAATAGCAAGAAAGGATAAACATAACAAAACTAAACCTACAACTTCCAAACTCCGAAGCGCCTTCGTCTGAAATTGTTAATAACATTTTAAAGGTACAGTGTCATTTCTTAGGAGCTTCACTGTAAACAAGCAATGTAAGTTTATCTTTTCTTTAGGGGGCCCAGTTGTGGTTGATGTGGAGACGTATGTATCAAGTGTAAGCTCCATCAATGAAAAGGATATGGTACGTATAGTCCGTTTCTCGCATATCAGACAGAAATGCAGACAAGAATTGTACGTTGGTACTTCAGTGAGAATTCGATGGACCTCAGACAACTCTGTATCCTAACTTGGCCATTGATGGCTTTTGTGTTGTTGTTATAACTTATAATTTTGCTGCGTAGTTATTCTCTTTATCGTTATGCTTGTTTCATTTATTCACCGCAAATGCAGACAGTTACAAGAGTTCCAGCAAGATGACTTTCCACGATGTTATGAGTTATGGGTGATTTGATAAAATTTAATCAAGAGTGAAGTATAATTGTATCTTCCCACAGGAATTCTCGCTAGACATGTTCTTCCGACAGCGTTGGAAGGACACGCGCCTTGTGTACAGGCCACTTCCGGGAAAAGAAGCGGACCAGAGAGTGATCCTCAGTCCGGCACTCAGGAAGCATGTCTGGCAGCCTGATGTTTACTTCCGGAACAGCAAGGAAGCGCGTTTTCACATGGTACCAACTCAAAATGTTCTGTTCGGTATCAGCCCTGACGGAAGCATTCTACTGAGCGCAAGGTAGGGTGCTGCGAATAGAACAAGCTAAAATATGCAAGCTTGGTGACAACGTCAGACTGGTTAATGGCTTCACTTCTAGTTTATTTTCAGGGCTGTAGCCAGTATGAGGCAAGCCGGGCCACTTGCCTCAGTCATTTTCTTTCTTCATTTTTCTTTATCTTTTGTTTTTATCTTTTTTGAAGGGGGAAAGTAGAACACTGATGGCAAATAAATATACACCCTAAATACCTAACAAGCGAATTTAACCATCGACATTGCCACAGCCATAAATCTTTGTTGAGAGGGAGAGATTATCGCAGTTGTGTACGCAGGTTGCGAAAATAGAGCCTAAAATCTAACTCTTGCACGTTTTGTTATTAAGTTACTTATAAGAACGAGGTTAGATTTTTTTGACTATGGCATCACGCATCAAATCCTGAACGAAGACGTTTAGCCCCTTAAAAAACATTTCTTTAAGACTGTGTCGCCAAACACAGCATTTCTTGAATAGGTACATTAACTTGTCTAACGGTAGCTTAAAATGATCATGTCTCGCCACATTTTCGGTGTCCCAATTATTACAAAAAAGTTGAATTTTTGCATAACTTTAAGCACACCGCTACGTTTCCTCGACATTTGTTTTCAGAATCACCACCGTGCTTGCCTGTCAGATGAATTTTCGTGAATTTCCTATGGATCAACAGACCTGCCATTTCTATGTTGGTTGCTGTAAGTACAAAAATTTTCAACTTTCATCGCAATTACTGGGTGGTAAAAGGTGGCCTATTTCCTGTTAACAGTAGAAAAAAAAAAAACGATTTTTTTCTCACATAAGATTCCCAGACGGAGGATAACGTGATCGTAAGATGGAGGAATGGTAATGGAGTGATTGTGCCCAAAGACATGGAGATTCCTCAGTATGACTTAAGTTCAGTGGTCAGCAAAGATAAGAGAGGAGTCTACAACACAGGTTTGCGATAAGTTTCAACTGTAACTACTTATTAACCTCGAGCCTTCTGTCTTTACGGGAAACTCTCAAGCGGAGACCTTGCCGTATTGACCGAACGATAGCGAGGTCAATACGGCGGGGTGGAGGTTTGAGATTTTCCCGTAAAGATCGAACGTTCGAGGTTAATAAGTTGATACGGCTTTTTGCTTTGGTTTTGCGGGCCCGTAATCGGCCCGTGGGCATTACGGGAGAATAATTCCCTAGAATTAGCCAATCAGAGCGCGCGTTATATCGGCTACAAATACAAGCCACATTCAGATTATTACTGGCCCCTAGGGAAACAGTGTCCCCAAGAACCTCAATGTTACAAAGGGGAATTTTGAGTGTCAAGATTAAACAGAACTCGTTGTTATTTATGGGGACAGTAATTAAGTGCCTTGCCATCTATAATTCATTGCACCGTTCTATTCTGCTCGAGGCGTCGCGCGCATAAATTTTCCACAGTCTTTGACGAATGGGCCCTACACGCAGTTGATTGTCAGCTTGAAGTTAATAAAATTATATTAAACACCGTAGCAAGTTTGGAAAAGCTAAGTTTTCCAGCGTTACCCTTTCGTCGGAACAAAATATGGAGCACTCATTCAGTTTCGCGCGATGCATTTTCGTCCAGTCGAAGAAGAGGCTTCACTCGTGGGCTATAACAATGGAATGACAACAAAATCGTCAAACTTTTCCGTTAAGTTCGCTGTACAAGTTAGTTATAGTGGATAAATATTCATTGCCTTCATTTTTCTCATGCATGCCACCATTTCGATCCGCCTTTTTTCTGCAGGTGTTTTCTCCGAGCCTGAGGCTACATTTATCTTTAAAAGACGCCTGATGTTCTACGTGTATGGGTTTTACCTTCCTATCACTCTAGTCGTTCTCCTCAGCTGGATCTCATTTTGGATTGACCCGGAATCCACCCCTGCCCGCGTCTCCCTTGGAGTCATAACTATTCTAGCCATGGGGAACTTCCTCCACGGCGGCGGCGCCACTCCAAATGTGTCGTATGCTACAGCTCTTGATGTGTACGTTATCACGTGTTTTGTGTTCGTATTTGCCAGCTTGATGGAGTATGCTGCGGTGCACTGTGCTCTAATGAAATATCAGGAATCAAACATGAATGAGGTATGCTAACTTGTAGTTTGGAGACGAACTTGAAAAATTTAGGGTAAACTTTTCAAGATTTAATAGTATGTAAAAAAATATGTAAATATATGTAAATAATGTATGTAAATATGTAATTTGTTTACCCACGGAGCACCAAGGAGTTCACAAGAACTCGTTCAGAAATGTCCGTGCATTCCAGGATCGAATTGGAATTTGGAAATGTTGTTTTTTGAGGAGAGGGGAAAACCGGAGTACCCGGAGAAAAACCTCTCGGAGCAGAGTCCCGGGTTCGGGAATCGAGCCCGGGACTCATTGGTGGGAGGCGAGCGCTCTCACCACTGCGCCACTCTGTTCCTCAAAGATACGCAAACCGTGACATAGATCCTATTTCAAAATGTAATGTTCGCGAATCAATGACATCTTGTTCTTTTCATCCGATCCCAGCCTTGTACTTTGGTTAAAGTCGCCGAGTCACTGAAATCCGAGGGCGCCACGGAAGGCATGGAGAATGAAAGCGTTTCAAGTTCGAGTACTGTTCGTCTCGCTGTGACGACAAACAACAATGAAGAGGACAGATCTAGATCCTCGTTAAGTCGAAAGTCTTTCACCCAAGAGGCCAAGATGTACTACTTCCAGTTCAACTCCCATTCACTGGAAAGTTATTCAAGAGTTGCATTTCCTCTTCTCTTCGCAATATTTAACCTCATTTACTGGTTGAGATATTGTGGACAAGGAGACAAAAACCATGGTATCTGCTAATAGTCGTAGATGCCAATTAGAAATTTACTTAGAACTCAAGCCAGCGCTGAATGCAATATTGGGAGTTCCAGCTGGCTTTTCTGTTTGCATTGAGTTTTTTTTTTCAAAGAAATACATGTAAAACCCTGTCGAAACTAGAACTGTTTTGCGATCAAACACGATCAAACATTGTTTGGTGACAAACATATTGATGTTGTACTGTGTGACCAAACGGCATCAAACATGTTCAAACGGACAAAATGTTTACAGTGTTTGATCGAATGTTTGACTTCGTTCAAATTTCATCAAAGACGATCCAACACGATCAAACAAGGTGTCTAAACGGGAAAATGTTTGGTCACCAAACAATGGTTGATCGTGTTTGATCGCCAAACATTTCCCGTTTGGACAGGGCTTTATAAATGTAAAAAAAAAAAACCAACCAGGCTTGCATAAATGGACGGGTCCATTCAAGATGTTCTCACAGTAAATAACGTTAAGAGACTCCAAGCCCTGAATTCACGCATCTTTGGCATAAAGGGCTCCTATTCATACCAAACTTGTTTCAAGATTTCTTTCAAAACGCCAGTAAAATACACGGATACGATACTAGATATGCATCTTGGCAAAATTTATACATATCAGAAGTACGTACCAATCTGGAAAACAAACAATAGCTTACACAGCGACTATTCTCTGGAACCAGCATTCTACTCACCTTAAAGATCTCAATGTCTTCAACTTCTTGAAACATTGAACTGAACCTTTATTTACTGTCAGAACAACATTTTGAAAACATGTAATATATTCTCTTTTCTGTTATACTATGAACACATCTCTGTATGTTCTGTATGCTCTGAATAGCTATAGAACCATTTACAAAAATAGGTACGCAGTGCGTACATGATCGGACATGCAATACATGCATGTTACCTCATTAACAGTAATACGTTTCTTTGTAGTGATCCTTCATCATTTATTTGAAACATGAACAACGCATATATAGACATAAAACCAACTACTAAAACGGATTTATTTAGAGACAATGAGTCTTTAAAGAACAAGTAAAGACCGTTTATTACAAGCTTGCTTAGATGACAACTCAGATGGTACAAATATGGAATGATTTCTACGACTCTGGTCATTGTGTACTGTCTTGTGAAACCTTTTCTAGCCAAATTATACTTGTTTACACTGACAAGTCTGTTATGCTGAAAATGTGAAGTAGGTTAGGCCAGTAAGATGCATATGTAGCCTCTTTTATTCTGCTTGTCCTACAAGCAGAATAAAAGAGGCTATGAATTATAATCATTATAATTTATTACCAATTGTTTTATATCGAATGAGCTTTGATATTCCCTGCCAAACTTTCACTGAAGTGCAAGCTAAAATTAGAGTTAAATACAGACACTTTCTATGGTAACTCACAAAGAAGCAAAAACGATTGCCGAGTGCACTTTGACAGCAAGTTGTATAAAGAATCCCCCTTGTGTAAGATCTGGGCCATACCAGCAGCGCTGGAAATCAGTCTATGGTTTTGAAAAACAATGTAAATTAGAGAGTTTGCTACACAGTGCTTCCTTGTGAGTAAGGGGCAGAAATAGTTTAACTGACATCAAAGTCAGTCACAATTGGGGCTGGGTTTGTCTCAACGCAGTCAACTTGACACCGCTGCCAAGTCGAATTCTTAATTCAGCGATATAACCTTTACAGAAACGATACAAAAATATCTGTGTAAGCCAGAGACGATTCATTTTCGTTATTTCGAAATGACGAATCACACATTTCAGTACTGCTAAATAAATCGATATGAGGTAAACAAAAGCAGCATAGCACACCAGAATGTTTCCTAGGAGCTTCCTCGATACTCCCCGAAAGCTAAATAAATGCTATGCATGGCAGCAACAAGTCTGTACGTTTTGTGTTATAGCTTTTGTGCCCAAATTCAGTGCAGAATGATCAAGGTGCTCAGAACTAATTCGAAGTTTCTCAAGGAAACTGATCAACGTAATTCTCGATAAGGTATTATTTAGCATGTGTTGCAGCCGGATGCGTCACAAAATCCCCGGTATGGTCTAAACCGGCGGTTTAGGCCGTATGCGACGCAGGCAAGGTATTATTTTACTCAGGTTTGTTCAAAAATGCTCCAAGGTTATTTCAAAGTCACACAATCGTGCGATCACGCTCGCGATCGAAGTAAGGTGCTACTTGAGTATCGATCCTCGCTCTGATGCAATGTGTTTGCATGTTGTAGTCAAATTAAAATGAAGAGAAAATGCTCACGTTTTGTTCTCAAACAGCTAAGCCACACACAAGGAACTTGCTGGTGAACAGCCACGCAACACACAAAGAACTTGCTGGTAAACAGCCCGGGGGGGGGGGGGGCTGCCATATATGGGCTATATAGGTATGTGCCACTGTGAAGGGTATGGTTTTCAAGCAGTTTACTCTAGGATAGGGTATATAAATCAGAACGTTTGG